ATCAAGACCAGATAAGCAAATTAAACAGACCTATAACTGCTGAAGAAATAGAAACAGTCATCAAAAGTCTCCCAACCAAACAAAGCCCAGGACCAGATGGTTTCAGCTCAGAATTCTTCATGACTTTCAAAGAAGAATTAATAACAATACTCCTCGAATGGTTCCACATAATAGAAAGAGAAGGAATATTGCCCAACTCTTTTCATGAGGCTACAATTACCTTGTTATCCAAACCACATAAAGACATTACTAAGAAAGAGAATTACAGACCAGTCTCACTCATGAACATTGATGCAAAAAATACTAAATAAAATACTGGCAAGTCGAATCCAAGAACGTATTAGAAAAAGCATCCACCATTATCAAGTTGACTTCATCCCAGAGATGTAGGGATGGTTCAACATAAGAAAATCTGTCGACATAATCCACCATATAAACAAACTGAAAAATAAAAACCACATGCTAATTTCATTAGATGTTGAAAAAGCCTTCAACAAAATACAACATCCCTTCATGATAAAGGTCTTAGAGCAGGGATACCAGGGACATTCCTAAACATAAAAAAGGCAATATACATCAAGCCAACAGCCAACATCAAAATAAATGAAGAGAAACTCAAAGCAATCCCACTGAAATCAAGAGCAAGGCAAGGTTGTCCACTCTCTCCATATCTGGCTATAGTTTTTGAGGTCCTAGCTAGAGCAATAAGACAACAAGAAGAAATCAAGGGGATATAAATCAGAAAAGAAGAAGTCAAATTCTCACTATTTACTGATAATATATTAGTTTACATAAGCAACTCCAACAATTCTACCAAGGAACTTCTACAACTCATAAACACTCTCAGTAATGTAACAGGATACAAGATTATCTCAAAAAAAAATCAGTGGCCCTCTTTTACACAGATGATAAATAGGCTGAGAAAGAAATCAGAGAAATATCACCTTCACAATAGCCACAAATAACATAAAATACCTCAGAGTAACTCTAACCAAACAAGTGGAAGACTTGGATGACAAGAACTTTAAATCTTTGAAGAAAGAAATTGAAGAAGAGAGAAAATGGAAAGATCTCCCATGCTCTTGGGTAAGTAGAATTAACATAATAAAAATGTCAGTCTTAACAAAAGCAACCTACAGATTCAGTGCAAGGCCCATCAAAATCTCAGCAAAATTCTTCAAAGACCTCGAAAGAACGGTACTCAACTTCATATGGAAAACCAAAAACCCAGGATAGCCAAAACAATCCTGTACAATAAAGAAACTTCTGGAGGCATCAAAATCCCTGGCTTCAAACTCTACTTCAGAGCTGCAGTACCAAAAACAGCCTGGTATTGGCAGAAAAACATAAAAACAGGAAGTCCAATGGAAATGAATCGAAGACCTAGATACCAATCCACACACTTACGAACACCTGATTTTTGACAAAGCAAAAAATATTACACGGAAAAAAGAAAGCATATTTAACATCTGTGTCTTCTGGCGTTTGTATCTTCCACCTTCTTTTGCTGCATCTCCATGTTCTCTTCCTTCTGCTCTGGTCACACGGTCCTCAGTGCTGAGCTTCTCAGACTCACTAAGCTAATTGTGTCCTACGGCCTTTGCCCAGCTACAGGGCTCGATCCAGTCAGTTTGTGTCTACTCAAATTCTCTACCCTGTGATCACTTGCCTCATTTTCCTCCATGTCATTGTGTGGTTTGTGTATATTCTGTAGCTGTCTGAATCTTCCCTGCTAAGATGTTTCCTTCCCCAAGGCAAGACTTCATTCTCTCACTGGTGCCTAGAACACAGCTGGTACGGTAGTGACCATTTGCCAAATGAATACACTCATCTCAGCAGTCACCCTCAACTTCACCCTTTAGTAGGCCATGGCTCTCTCATCTATGAAGTGAGGGATGTGAACTCAGGGCTGTCAAGGTCTCTGCCAAATGCACATCAAAGTCAGCCTCCAATCCAAGATACTCAAGGGCTGTATATGGAGCACAGCCTTAGCTAAAAGGAGGAAGGACTAGGTGGGATAGAGACATCACTCTTGGGCTTTTGCCAATGGAAGGGTCAATCTCCCAGCTTTTGGAAAGGCCTTTGATTTCTTTTTTTTTTTTATATTTATTTATTTATTATGGATACAATATTCTGTTTGTATATATGCCTACAGGCCAGAAGAGGGCACCAGACCCCATTACAGATGGTTGTGAGCCACCATGTGGTTGCTGGGAATCGAACTCAGGTCCTTTGGAAGAGCACGCAATGCTCTTAACCGCTGAGCCATCTCTCCAGCCCCCAGGCCTTTGATTTCATATAATGTGGGAAGTACCCTCTATTAGGGAGATGCTTGCTCATATCATGCCTATCTCATGGGATGAGGGCATCAGCTCTGCAGTGGCACCAGGCTGGTCATCTTCAGTCTCTTGACTCTCACTATGGAAGCTATGTGACCTCCAGGATTCCCTGTGGGGCAGTTGGTCCCTGCTCAGATGACAGAGAGTCCTTTCCATTGAACCCTTCTGCCTGCTTCCCAGTGGTCCCCAGCTAGAACAGCCATCCAGTCGATAGCAAAGCCGAGAGCATTCGTGAGTGTGCAAGCATATGGATGTTGGGAAAGGGCTGAGCACAGCAGTGCTGACTTTACCCATGATGCCTGGCCTTCATTTGAAGTTAGCCTAGCCAGGGCTGGAAAGATGGCTTAGTGGTAAGAATGCTCGTTGTGGGGCTGGAAAGATGTCTCAGGAGTTAAGAGCACTGCCTGCTATTCTAGAGGTTCTGAGTCAATTCTCAGCCAACCACATGGTGGCTCACAACCATCTGTAATGAGATCTTATGCCCTCTTCTGGCATGAAAGCATGCCTGCATGCAGAATACCATATGTGTGATAAATAAATCTTATTAAAAAAAAAAGAATGCTCGTTGTGCTGGGTGGTGGCGGCACACGCCTTTAATCCCAGCACTCAGGAGGCAGAAGCAGGCAGTCCTCTATGAGGCCAGCCTGGTCTACAGAGCAAGTTCCAGGACAGGTTCCAGAAGTCACACAGAGAAACTCTGTCAAAAAAAAGATTCAGTTCTCAGTACCCAATGATGGTGTAACCTTCCATAAATCCAATTCCAGAGACTCTGACCCCTCCTCTGACCTTTGAGGACATGCAGCACTCATATGATGTCCACACACATATACAGACAAAACATTCATGCAGAAAATATTTTAAAAATACTTTAAAGTGTCTGGGCTGGTAACAATGGCCATACACCTGTAACCCCCAAATTTAGACTCTTGAAGGAAAAGTATTGAGTTTGAGCCTATCCTAGGCCACATAGACCTGCATTGCCTCAGAAACAATTTCAGCTGTGTAGTAGGAGCTGCGGGCCTCTTCCCACAGCCTGGCTTCTGGTCACCTGGCCAGCTTATGCCCTGAAATAACAACACACAAATTGTATTCATTTAAACACTGCCTGGCCCATTAGCTCTAGCTTCTTACTGGCTAATTCTTACATCTTGATTCCCCTTTACTATTTATGTGTGTAGCACCCCAAGGTGCGTTTACCAGGAAGATTCTAGCCTACGTCCATCCTGGGTCGGAGCTTCATCGCGTCTGCCTGGAAGAGGGGAGCATGGCGTCTGAGCTCACTTCCTCTTCCTCCCAGCATTCTGTTCTGTTTATTCCACCCACCTATGTTCTAACCTATCAGGGCCAAGCAGTTTCTTTATTAATTAACCAATGACCTTCCTCCATCACAGATGCAGCTCAGTGGAAGAACAGCTGCCTAGAATTGAATGTTTAGGGCTGGGGCCATGACTCGGCAGTAGGGCGCTTGGCTAATATGTGCAAAGGCTTGTGTTTCATCTGTAGCAGCACTGGAACAATGAGGAGTTAACTGCCCTTTACTGCCAGATTCTTGCTAAGGCACAAACATGCAACGATTATCCAGAATATAATTCCAACCTCCACGTGATTACTGTGAGAAAATTACAGTCTAAAAGTCTAAAGTTGTATTGAGGGCATTTAATCCTTAAAGAAGAGGGCAAAGACAGTACTGAGTGAATAGGAATTATATGAATATGGTTAAAAAATATTTTTAGGAGAGCTATGGAAGTTTTGGTGAAAGCAAGAATGAAGTTTTTAATACCTACACAGTAATCATGCCTGAAAATGTACTGAGAGACAGGCAATGTGCACAGTGTGAAGAAAAGGTGTGAACTTACCCTGGGGACTGGGCTCTGTGCCCTTCACCCCAGCAGGGCTTTACCCTGAGGACTGGGCTCTGTGCCCTTCACCCCAGCAGGGCTTTACCCTGGGGACTGGGCACTATGCAGGGCTCTTTGTGACTGATCTGTCACGACTGTTGCATTGGTACCAACACCACAGTCCCCGGTGTGGGGAGGAAGAAGGAATTAACAGGAATTGAGCGCCTAGATGAGTTAAGTTTCAAACGAAGTAAGCCTGAGCTTCAGAGAGTGTCCCAGCCTGGAGTCTGAATGATTTGCCAGCAGGGCTTGGTGATATGCACTCCACTGACTCTCAATTTCCTAAGTGACAAAGCTGGAAGGGGTAGTGGGTAGTTGTACAACCAAACAAAAAAATTTGATTTAAAAGTCACGGTGTTCACTTGACTCTGTGGGAAGGAAGAATTGCCCCTGGAAGAACATGAGAGTTTTCTAGAAGTTATGAAATATTAAATGTTTGCATTCCTTAGTATCTCAGAATGACAATTTGTTCTGTTTCAAGGTGAGCCTGGTTAAGGAGGTGCAGTGCTCAGGAGTCCATAGTCTCAAGCCTGGAAAGCATAAGAAAGGCTAATAATTCAAGGCCAGCCTCTAATTGGGCTACAGTGATAGCTGCAGGCTGTCCTGAGCAGGAAGGTCTGCCTTCTGGCTCCATTTCCCTAGGCTTTGTGCCACCTGCTGTTACTCAGAGTCCGAGGGGGTGAGAAACAAAACCCTGTCTGGCCCAGCGCTAAGATGAGGAATGTCCAGTCTTTGAACAAACCATCTTGTGATCTGTCTTCAGGCTCATCTTGATCAAGAGGCTCTAATGCCACTTCTGTTTCTTGGTGACATGCTGCTCCCTTGAGAACCACAGTGAGGACAATGGAACTGGAAATGGTGAGTCTGTGACACATCTCTGGCAAGGAACACAGGCCTGATCGGTCTGTGGGCTTCTTATTTACATTACACCAAAGATATAATTTACATCATGGTTTAATGAATAAACACATTTTGCAAATCGGTTTTCTTTGGGTGGGACCCCTGGTAGGTAACCCCATGCTCCCAGGGATGGCCCCACCTTCTTGCACACTGGGATTCAATGGGTTATTTAAGGAAAAGAAGGATGTGAAGTTGGGATGGAGTGTTCCAGGGAGAAGAAGGGGTGGGCTGGGTGTGGATAAATAAAACGCATTGTCTAGACTGGCTGTGGACACCTTTAATCCCAGCACTTGAAGGCAGAGACAGGCAGATCTCAGTGAGTTCAAGGCCATCCTGGTTTACAAAGCAAGTGCCAGGACAGCCAGAACTGTTAAACAGTTGAACAGAGAAACTCTGTCTCCAAAACCAAAAAGAAAACCAAAAACAAACAAACAAAAAAAAAACCCATTGTCTTCATCTATGAAATTTTTGAAGAATTAAAAATGTTTTAGCCGGGCGGTGGTGGCGCACGCCTTTAATCCCAGCACTCAGGAGGCAGAGGCAGGTGGATCTCTGTGAGTTCGAGACCAGCCTGGTCTACAAGAGCTAGTTCCAGGACAGACTCCAAAACCCCAGAGAAACCCTGTCTCAAAAAAACCAAAAAAAAAAAAAATGTTTTAAAACTTAGGTAGAAAAATATATGTTTGTTTATATACTTTTCTTGTCTATGAAAAACAAATCTCTAACTTCACAGAGGAGACACCAAGTGACTGACCTTGGCTTGGAAACACAGGTTGTTGTAGGGAGGCCACTTGTTTGTTCCTGACTGCCCAGACCTGAAATAATCACACAGAAACTGTATTAATTACAACACTGCTTGGCCTATTAGCTTACACATATTTCTAGCTCATATATCTTAAATTAACCCATTTCTATTAATTTGTGTATTGCTACATGGCTGTGGCTCACCAGCAAGTTTCTGTCCTGCGTCTGTCTCTGGCGGAGCTATGTGGCTTCTCACTGACTCCGCCTCCTTTCTCCCAGCATTCAGTTTAGTTTTCTCACCTAGTTCTACTCTGCCCTATCAACAGGCCAAGGCAGTTTCTTTATTCATTAACCAATAAAAGCCTAGTCCAGAGCACATATGTGTGTGCCTTCTCAGCTGGTGAATCCCTGGAACCTCCTCTGCTTTTGCCATCCCCAGTCCTTAGACCTAGCCTTGCCACACAGCCTGTCTGCTAGGCTCGCCTGGTGAATGCCTGTCTTCGTCACAGTTTCTACTGCTGTGCTGAAAAAACATGACCAAGGCAACCTGGAGGAAAAGGGTTTATTTCAGCTTACATGACCTGATCACAGCGTTATGCCCAAATTATGGAGTCTCCCCAAAACCACCTAGGAGACCAAGTCCAGTATGGAAAAGCAAAGAGTCTTTATTCTTTTTATTCTTTTTTTTTTTTTTTTTTTTTTTGGTTTTTCAAGACAGGGTTTCTCTGTAGCTTTGGAGCCTGTTCTGGAACTAGTTCTTGTAGACCAGGCTGGCCTCGAACTCACAGAGATCCACCTGCCTCTGCCTCCCAAGTGCTGGGATTAAAGGCATGCACCACCGCCACCTGACATCAAAACCAACTTAAAAACCAGTGACTTCCATGCCCTCAGCAGCTGTGCCAATGGCCTCCATTTGAGGCCATGGTGACATGCAGACCCAGGTGACTGCCAAGGACCATGCCTGGGTCTGTGGTCCTTTCACAACTTGGGTCTATGTTGAAGTCCATGTCCCATGTTGCCACCAGGCCCACGCAGAGCCCCAAGGTTGGAGTCTGGGGTCCATGCTCCAGCAGGGGCCATATAGATCTGGGTGGCCTGTGCTGCCACCTCGGGCCTTGGTGTCATCTGGGCCCCAGCTGCTTGCTGAGGGCCATGTGTAGGTTCTGAGGTCTAGCTGCAGCTGGGGTCTGTGTCATCTCAGAGGATTATAAGAACCATGCATGATGAAATCAGAGGCCATGCTGAGCCAGCCCCACCCTTTGGCCCTGGGAAAGCTGGGAGAGATGGCTCCATCCCTCACCACAGGCGAGGGACGACCGACCCTGCTGGCATGAGTGTAGATCTCACTCTCCCCCTCATCTAAGGAAGGCTGCCCCAGTGGCCCGACTGACCAGCTCAGCTACCACCCAGGTCATAGCCTTGAGTTGGCACACCCTAACATCTACTACATCTAGAGCCTGGTAGAGTTTGTGAAGGAACTGGCCCTGGAGATCCGCAGCATCTCCATGACTGGGGGCAGCCACAGGATATCCCAGGGGAGTTCCAGTGAGGATCCAGTGAGGATGGTGTGTTGAATGGCACAGGTTGAAGAAACCCAGGCTAACTCCAAGATAAACAAATTTTATTTTCTTATTATAAGTGGAAAACTCATGAAACAGGAACCAGAAGTCCAACCTCAGTTGTGTAGCGTAGAAACCACAGAGAGAGAAAGAGAGAGAGAAAGCCCTGGGCACCAGCAGCTTTTCTTTAGGTACCAAAAAGGTCACTCCCCTAACCTGGTCCAACTTCTTGAAAATCAGTGACTGACAGAGATTCCCCATCACTTCCCCCTTTTGTATAAATAAGAGAGTTTTAAACCCAATACAAAGCGGGGCGGTGGTGGCGCGCGCCTTTAATCCCAGCACTCAGGAGGCAGAGGCAGGCGGATCTCTGTAAGTTCGAGACCAGCCTGGTCTACAAGAGCTAGTTCCAGGACAGGCACCAAAAACTACAGAGGAACCCTGTCTCGAAAAAATCCAAAATAAATAAATAAATAAATAAATAAATAAAGTCAATACAAAGCTATAGGGGGCTGGAGAGATGGCTCAGCTGTTAAGAGCACTGACTGCTCTTCCAGGGTCCTGAGTTCAATTCCCAACAACCACGTGGTGGCTCCCAACCATCTATAATGAGATCTGGTGCCCTCTTCTGGCCTACAGGCAGGATACTGCATAAATAAATGAATAAATAAATCTTAAAAAAACATATATACTAGGAACAGATATCAAGTATAAAATTAGGATTATAACCAACATAAACAATATTAAGCAAGGAACACATGCTAAATGTTTTAATAATAAACATTTTATCCTAAAGAGTCTAAGTCTTGCTTTGGAAATGGCTTGGCTAGATCATAAGGGTACAGTAACTATGACTATCTAATCTTTAACCCCATCGAAGGCCTGAGAAGGGAGATATTACTTGAGTAGGCAGGAAGTGTAATCAAGCAGCTTCCAAAGCGTGTAGTATATGACAGAGACAACTGGCTGCCTGAGCAATCACTCAGAGTTTCATTTGCAATGTTGAAGCAACCAACTTTGACTAAGGCCTAGCATAACTGACAGACCATTTTTAGAAGCAGGAAAATTTTCAGAACTGTTTTGTACTGTCTTGGCAAGGTTTGGCAGTCTTTTTTGTGAGTGTGTTCTGTTTATTCAGTCCAGACACCATGTACTTTGTCAGTGGTCAAGGCATAGGCAGTTCCTTGCCCAAAGGCCAGTTGTGCCAAGAAGAAAATAAACGCCAAGTAGAGTGTCTTAAGTGCTCAACATTCTCTCAGGAATAGATCGGTACTGTCAGGAACAACCGTGTCTCATGTCAACAGAACTCTAAGTTATTTAAATGCCATGATCTACAGATCCTTGAAGTGGCTGAAGATTAGCTATCTAGGCAGAATACAATCTCTCTGTATCTAAAGAACCTAATTAATCTGACTATATGTATAACATACATGAATAACTATTGACCTATAATACTTAATACCTGTATACTTAAAGACTAAGACTTCATATCAGAATATTAAATAATCTGCAAACAACTGTGAAGTAAATGAGGACAGTGACCTCAAAATGTAAACAATGTATAAGTATCTTGATCAGAGAGGTAGGGCTATATAATACAATATGATAAATATATCCTAAAAATTATATCAGTATACAAAATGTCTTAAACAGAGGTAGAAACATGCATGCATACAATCTGACAAAATAACTTTTCATAGGTATACAAATATTGTAAACAAATAACAAGATAATTTGAACTTGTATCAATATACAAGAATCTATACCAGTGTAAATTGTCCATAAAGAATAACTCACAAGTATTCATTCTAATACCCACTATTATTGGTAGTAGTATGAATAAGTTCACGCTAAATTACCTATTATCCTATTCAGTTTTTCCTCTTTTTTGGTTCATTTTTATGTCTATTTTATCATCCAGACCAGTATGATTTTTTTACAGTAGGCATTGGATTTAAAATGTTTTTTTTTATTTTTTTTGTTTTTTTTTATTTTTTATTGAAAAAAAAATTTCCACCTCCTCCCAGCCTCCCATTTCCCTCCCCCTCCTTCCGCCCCTAAAATTTTTTTGATGAGACATGTTTTCCACAGTAACTGGGAATGATTGGATCACGTTCCACGTGGAGGCCTGCAAGAGGCCCCCCAAAGGAGTTTTCTGATCGTATTGGGCTGTCTTGTGTGCCTTTGTCAACCTACACTCACTGGTTTAATGTCGGCTTTGCCACACCTTCTACATACACCTGAAGGCTGAGTCCTCCTATTCTTGGCATTTCCAGAGGAGATGTTATTCCTAGAAATTTTTTGTCTACAATCCCTTTTCAGATGTCCTATTCTACCACAGTTAAAACCTTAGGCATTTTGCCGTCTTCTCATACTGTTGGAAATTGCTTCTCCTACCCAAGCTTCGGTACTATAGTCAAATGTCTCAACATTTATCGTATGTAAGATTCATTTATCTCTTGGTGCTCATCTAACCAAGGAATGAAGTCTGTTCAGTAAAGATAATGTCATCCTTGGACGTAATTTTTATGGCGTACATATTACCTTCCTGAAGAAACACTCTATCTGTCAATCTATTATAACTGTCAATAGATTTCGATGAATACATGTAACAGCACGAATTCTCTCAGACAATGTCTCAGCACCCTCTGTCAC